CCTTGCCGATTTTTCGGAAAATATTATTAAACGTTTTTCAATAGAACTGTTTATATTGGACCCCGAGCTCGTCCGGTCCACGAACGAGTCTCGCCCAACTTACGTCTCCAACGATATTTTTCTTAAACATTTCCATTGAAAAACGTTGAATAATATTTTCTGAAGAATCGGCAAGGACTCGTGTCGTTATCTTTACGTTCCTATATAAATAGACCCTTAGCAGGCAACGAGTCCTCCTCGTAAGATGCAATTTCACGAAAGACTGGCTGAAGTTGGAACATCCTCTCAGTTGACTCTGCGGGTCCTGTATTTGAAGCTCCGGGGATGTCCTTACTGTTCAACTGATCTGTATTGCCTTAAATCTCGAAGCTTCCTTGCGATCCATATGTTTATTACGTCAAACTCAAAGCAGGCAAGCAAAGATTAGCCCCACTTCGATACGTAAACAGCCACCCAAAATCAGTTTCCGCGTGATCCATGTCCACTGCATATCTGACGCTCTCTGTTTACATCCGAGTAACGTTGCAAAGATAATTTATGTTCACCTGGTACATTAAAACAGCAAATACGCCATCCTCTACGCACTTTTCCAATCACGATTCATAAATGAATGAAAATGCATTAGGAGTCGGCGAAACAATTATTATGTCCCTATGAAAGACGAGAATGGAGGGGCATTGCCACGGAGATGGCCTGATCGGTTCCGAAATCGACTGCCGCCGACGCCTCGCACTGGGCGCAAGTCAAGAATCCGCGCCGATGTTAGGACGATGTCAGGCTCGTTCTCTGAGCGACTCAGTGGCAACGCGCTTGCCGACACCGGCGGTCGTGTGGCAGGACATAACCATGTTTGCTGTTCCCGAGCAAAATTCCAGTGACCGGACATCGTACCAGAAATATGAACGGGGAGCTGTTTTGTTCGTCGTGACGCGAAAACGGTTAGGAACGAATTAGCGAATCAAAATAGGTAAGAATTTGCAGTGTTCGTAAGAGAAAATAGTTCTGAAGTAAAAGCTGTGACGTAAGAGTGGCTACGCGTACCGCAATAGAGAATTTTACGAAGTGGCCTCGTCGTCCAGCCTTGATATCAGTTCCCCGGAGTCACATTTCCAATCGCACAGAGATGAAATTTAATTTTAATTAGCGTTGTTAAATATTCTTCACACAGAAACTTATTTCAGATCTATTTTAGCATTGAAACATAAATTAATTTTTGAACCCAGCGCCAATTTTTTTTTTAAATACGTCGAGTGGCATCGGAGTCGCGGACAGGTTGACAGACAAGACCTCTCTGTCATGTGTTCACTTCTGAGCGTAAAAACATATTAAGGTGCTGAACACTGGTCCTACAACTTGTTTTTCTAACACGTAGGACGCCACGGTACGTGCAGATGAACTGTCGACGTGCTGTTATCGACAGTTACAGTTCCCGTCTCCAGCGACAAGCTCTGATTCCTCCTTGGTCGCTGCTAGTGTCTAATTACTCCGCTTACTGACAATCGGTATGATGCTTCGTGTCAAATTTATTCATCAGCCACGAGACTCAAACTTAGTGTCTGAAACACAGGACAGTGAAGTGAATGACTAAGGGCTTACTTGAGTTCACTCGCGGTTCGAGTTTATCTTCAAGTTTCTTTTAATAGTAGATTATTTATCGACGTTGTAATTAGCTCAGATAATGTTGCGTCAACTGAGATGAATAGGAGAGGATCTGCAAGGATTAGGAAGTAATTTTAGGCACAATCTCAGTATTAGTGACTACAGAGCGACTCCCAGTAGCACGCACAGTATCTGACCTAGTTCAGAGTGAGCGTCATTCAACGACACTGAGTCCTACCAAAGTCAAATTTAAACCTGTTGATAACATTCTTCAGTTAACAGACACGAGTAGCGATCTGAATATCGTGTAAGTCTGTCCTAATTTCTTAATTAAATAAACCTGATTTAAAACTTCTGTAGAATCAGTTCCGACGAGCAACCTAAACATCGCTGCCTCACAAAAAAGAAATTTCTGTTCATTTAAGAGTGACTGCTTGCATTAGGAATGTACACTGAAAAAGTTTAGCGCCCAAGGTTTGGAGAAAATTTGGTAGCGGGAAACACCGTGCATAAGTAATGTCACGTGGACTGGAAAAAACTGCAAGATTCAGATAGACAGCTCAGGCGACCTTTACGATCCATCACCACATGTAAATAATATACAGCCTAGGAGTTGCTCAGAAGTGGATTAAATTACGGAAAAGTTAAAAATTTTAGGGTTTTTTTACAAACAAAAGTTTAACGAGTGACTGCATTAGTGTGTGTACCAAAATGTCATGTCTTCCCGCTCTGTGCTACATTAAAATTGTGTTGGGGACTGCGAAATGAAAGTGGAAGGATTTTACAAATTAGTTATTTGAGAGTTTGTGTTCCTTGTTGTTCATGACGTCAATTATGTTGCAGACAAAAATATATTACTGCATGTACAAACCAGCTGCTACAAAGTTAATCATTTTTCGAAACACTGCCCGGCTAATTAAGGCAGAAACAATTTCCTTTGTGTTTTAATGAACATGTGCAGTGTTGAAAAGTCTATAAAAACATCAAGCTTATATTTGACTAAAATACAAATTCTCCTCTTAAGATGAACCGTTTCATTTGAAATGGGGATGGGATTCATTAAGTTTAATTCAACACTAACAAAAATGTACAAGCTTTAAGCATAACCTTGAAAAACAACATTAAATTCAAACACTGAAAAACATGCTAATACGCTAAAGATTCAATATCTTAATTATATTAATTTCTTGCGTGTTTGAATGTTCACTTCAATATTTCACGAAATCAGAAATATGTCTGCTTGTATGCGATGTCGCTTTAAAGTGCCAGTGGTTTATAACGAGCTAGAAAGCAAATTCAAATGCAATGAACGTGTCGGCTTTAAGAACTTTTAAGTCAGTCTCGTTACATTGCTAATTCATAACGCCATCAGCAGTTGAAATGTAGTTACTGCTAACAGCTGCTTTCGGAAAGACTTTTCGCTAACCCCCTATATTTTTCGCACACCGTGAACTAGCCGATTATACTCTCTAAAGACCAGGTCCCGTTCCTGAAATTCCCGGTCATGGAACGTTTCAAATTTACGTACTTCGCAAGGCATGGGTCCTCGACTAGCAAGCCTCTCCCTGATGAAGGCAGTTTCCGACCGCTCGAAATGTTTCCCTTTTACCTTGCCCCATAGTACGAACTGAATCGAGTCGAATTGCACCGTTCAGTCGCGAGGTCGTAGCCCGATGGGAGACGCGATTGACGACGTGAGCCTCTACAACTGCACGGCGTCGCTGCTGATGCAGCTGGACTCCTCCGTGAACGCGAATTCCGTGTGGACGCTGAACCGGAGCCAAGTGGTCGACCTGTTGGAAGTCGCCCTAACGCAGACGGACTCCTCCGCCCAGTGGACGGCGCTCCGTGACTTCATTTCCGAATGCCTCCTCCCCGCACAGAGGCCGTATGACCTGGCCTGGTGGCAAAAACTTATGTGGGCTGTCGTATTCGGGGCGATGCTCGTAGTTGCCACAGGGGGCAACATAATCGTCATGTGGATCGTCCTTGGTAAGCAAATCATTTATTTATCAGTGATTGGAAATATATTGTGTGTTCTGTTCAAAAACAGCTGTAAACGATTCAAAACTTTTTAAAGCCTGTGAGAAACTGCGATACTTGTAAAGAGAGTCAATACAAAATTTCATAAAAATTATTACACAAATTACTTACCAACAAACAACAATTTCGTTTGAAGTCGCGACTACACGTAATTTGACCACTGAACATGAAGTTACAGACCGAGACTTAAGGGAAAATCGACTGAAAATAGTTCGGTCATTATCGTGATCTGCACTTCACACTGAATAAATTCTGGGCTGTAAGTACGTCTGTCCACCGAGCTCAGCGAAATTCTTTGGTACAGTGACACAGCCACTGACGTGTGTCAGGGCAAAGAGTTAGAGGACGTAGCGACGTCCTTGGTGATCATTCGCGTGACTGGGCAAACACAAAGGTTTCGGCTGCGGGAATGTTTATTGTTTAATAGCCCGTTCATTCCTTTTAAGGCCTATCTGCGTCATTCACTTTTAAGTAACACAGCAAAATAGCCACAAGCTACAAGTGGGACTAACTACTTTTCATTTGTTTCTTAGTTACGGGCGTTTTGGTAGTGCATTACACCGACCCTCCTGCGATTTCGGAATGGCGTGTGCATCAACTTTTGCCAAAGACTCGCCAAAACGGCTACGGAAACCTATGAAATGCTAAAGCAAGCATTTGGGGAGTCCGCAATGGGTCGTGCACAAACTTTTGTGTGGCATTCACGTTTTAAAAATGGCCGAACCTCTGTCGATGATGACGAGCGTTCTGGCCGACCATCTTCGAGCACAACGCCCGAAACTGTTACGAAGATCGACGTCGTACCATCACTTGTACGACTTGTGCGACATTGTTGGGATAGGCTATGGGGCCTGTCAGCTGATTCTAAAGGAAGAACTCCACATGCGACGCAAGGCTCCTGTCTGAGGACCAGAAGCAGAATCGACTTGACTTCTCGTTTGTCAGGAGCTCAAAGATCTTGCAAGATCCGACCCCAACTTCCTTTCTAAGCTCCGTGTGACTTCTTCCTCTTCCCAAAGATGAAAATTCAGCTCAAGGGAAGGAGATTTGAGACGATAGAAGAGATTCAGGCAGAATCGCAGATGGTGCTTGACAGGCTGACAAAGAAAGATTTCCAGGGATGCTTCCAGGCTTGGCAGCGGCGCTGGGATCGTTGTGTTCACTTCCAGGGGAACTACTTCGAGGGTGATGGATGAATTTAATATCTGAGATAAGTGTACGGGGTTTTTATACGCACAGTCTTGAAACTTTCCGATCGCACCTGGTATACAGTGAGCTTATTTTAAAATATGCAGAGTTGCATTTGAAATTGCTGTAAATAAATGGTGCAGTCATCTGATAAAACGTCGTTCAACAACGTTCGTCGTACACCTCTACTAAAATGTTTTCCGAAGTGTGTTAGCAACTTTGCGAGATAAAACCACGCGGGTAAGACGGGTAGGAATGACACGCAAACTTTATTATTTGAGACAGAAAACATAAGAAACAAAAGTTACGTAAATATTTCCGTTTTAATGCGAAAATTTGACATTCTAGGTACGAGTTATCAATGGACCGGTAGTGTTTTACATTTGCAATATCGTAGACCCGAAATGCTGAGAAGTTTCGCGTCTGTACGTTGTCTTTCGGATGATAGGAGCTTTACGAAAACCCTATGAACACCTTCCCAGCAGTGTCAATGTAGAACTGGACGGATAAATCACTTCACCATCAAGTCGAACTTAACACGAAGAAGACCAACTTCCTGATATACTAATTTTATACACAAAGTAACTATAATTTACCAAGTATATATTAAGTCTTGTCCGTCTAATCACAATAAATTCTTATTAAATATTAAAATATTACAATAATTAACATTTAAAATATTTTTAAAATATTAAATGATGTTCTTTATCGAAATATTCGATTTACATTAGAACATAATTTTTCATGTTTCACGACATGTTTCAGTTCATAAAAGAACCATCCTCAGGTATATATAATTATATAAAACTTCAAAACGATAAATAATTCAAATACAATTTTCATACATTTTTATCAGATTTTTACCAGATATTAAACGATGTTCTTTTTCAGATTTTGTTTTCAGATTTTTATTCAATTTTTAATAACACATTCGATGTTGTTCTTTTAGGAACTGAAACATGTCGTGAAACATGAAAAATGATGGTCTAATGTAAATCGAATATTTCGATAAAGAACATCATTTAATATTTTAAAAATATTTTAAATGTTAATTATTGTAATATTTTAATATTTAATAAGAATTTATTGTGATTAGACTTACAAGATTTAATATATACTTATTATATCACAATATGACGCAACTTTACCATCTTATAATTTACCAAGTTAAATGCCAGACAAATTTAAATATATATTGATTCCAGGCGTGTAAATGCAACTGACATTTGAATATTTCTCTGGCTAAAAAAATAATTCACGGGATTTAACGCTGGAGTTGTGACGAGACACAGCTGATACATACAAAAGACGTCATGCCACAATTCGTATGAAATACTCTTAAATACGTTAGGAAATTGAAAGTCGATAATTCTGTTGGTGATACAGTACGAAGTTCAAACGAAAATATAAAAAGTGAATGTTATGTGAAAGACTGGAGGTACATCGGAGAGGCAATTTTGAGGTAATAAGTTTTCACTCAGTAAATAAATAAATTTGTAATGTAAGAACATTACATCTTACTGTATTTGCTTGAGATATACGGAAGTATATAAGCCCTTTGGCTATGTTTCTTAAGAGAAATAGAGAATGAGTTACTAGAGGCGCTCTGTGCTGGGTTGATGGACAGACAAAGGTGACGCGACGGCAGGACACAGGAGTTTCGTGTCTCACCGTCGGGGAAGAACACATTCCGAGAGTGTTTAAGGAAAGCATTTGGACCCGGGAGGGAGGAACTATGAGGCGGACGGAGAAAACTGCGTAATCAGAGCGCCGGCCGCGTAGCAGCCACGTGGAAAATGAGAACTTCAAAAGAAACTTTAGTCGTAAAAGTCTGAAAGCAGAACCACAGCCAACCTGGCGTAGCTTGGAGGACAGTTAATATTAAGACTGACGTGAAAAATGATGTGGAGGATTCGAAGG